AAGGATTTCTCTGCATTATTGAAGAGGCATGCATATGCCAGGCATACGGGTATGATATGAAAAAGCTTTTGGGTAAGCCTTGCTTAAATGAGACACAGGCTAAGTCAAGTCCATTGTTTATTTTCTCAGAGAGAAAAAGAGATAGGGAATTCATTTCCTTGACACATACAGAGGATGTGAATCACAGTCCTGAAACCAAAAGCTTTGAAACGCTAAACTCGATAATTTTCTATTTTTTTAACAGGAACGATTTGGAAAAAGGGGAAAAGGAATAATTAAATAAAAAACAATTTAAAAATAAAACCAACTTAAAAGACCTTGTTGAGCATTAACTATTACATATGTTACATCCTTTAACTCTCTTGACAAATTTAGGAAATAGGCCTTATTAGAAGGCTGTATTAGAAGAACCTGAGGTAGTACAAACACGACGTCCCAGCTACTAAGTCACAAAGCTGGAGTTCAAACCCAGGTCCCATTCTCCTGCTTCTGCCTCCAGGGCCTGCCGATGGTCAGGGGTAGGGAAAGTGATTGCTGCCCTTCTAGTTCTCAGTTCCATGACTGTAAAAGGGGCTGATACAGAAGACACAGTTCTTGAACAGAAAAAATGGGGGCAACAGAAAAAGATTTTTCAAATTATCATCTTCTTCCAATGAAACACAAATAACAGCCAATAATGAATGAACACATCCTTTGCTGTAAGCAGCAACAGGAAATACTGTTACACAGATTTAACATGTTCTGACTATAACTTCTAGGTATCCCTATTGTTGTCCAGGAATGAATGTTTCATAAACTTCATTTGAGAATTCAACCAAAGCCTAAACTAAACTGAGGGAGGGAAAACACCCTTGGTTAAACTACAAAGCAAACTGAGATTCCCCTGAACCTTTTAGGATAAAGGGGGACTGTCACTGAGTACATGCAGTAACTTCAACCCTTATGTAATCCAAGCAAAGGTAAGGTCCCTCCTCTGCAAATTTAAAGTCACCTCATTTCTTACTCAAGATAGTCCTTCTGAGGATCCTCCATTTGTAACCTCTCACTTACACCAGTGTAACTCTGTACCATCTCATCACCTGGGACACTGCCAGAAATGAGGAAGCAAGCGAAAGAAGTTGGGGGAAGGCCAAAACAAACATGTCAATGTTCATTCAATTCAACCAGCAAAAACTGATTGAGACCATACCATTCACCAGGGACAGTGCCTGATGCTGAGGATGGGGATGATGACAATGATGAGAATAGTAATCATAGCAGTAGCTAATTCTGAATGCTTGCCACATGCCAGGCACTGTCATAAACACTTAAACTCACTGTATTCTCCTAGCAACCAAATGAGGTAGGTCCTATTGTTAGCCACATTTTTGCAATAAGAGAACTGAGGCACAGAATGGTTAAGACTTGCCCAGAGTCACACAGCTAGTAAATGGCAGATGTAAACCCAGTTGGTCTGGCTTCTGAGTCTGCACTACTAGGCAAACTCAGAAGGGACCACACTATACGGCACTCTCAAAAGAGTAGGGATAAAGGATACAGGGGACAAGAAGATTATCTCCACTTCGAGAGCCTACAGTTTAATTGTGAAGACAGGCAAATAAACCTTAGAAAAGCACCTCAACCAACCCAGGGTTCAGAGAAGGCTCCTAACAGTGGTTGTTCTGTCAGCTGAATTATGAAGTTCAGGTAGGAACCAACAAAGGGGAGACAGGGTGTGGGGTGCATTCCAGGAAAGGAAGTCACTTTCATACAGCTCCAGGATGAGAAGAATCAAGAAGAGACTACTGGGCTGCACACTGATCACCAGAGCTGTGTAAAGAATGCTAATCAATAATGGGATGTTTTTGGGGGGAGGAGGAATAGGTTGGAGAAAGAGGTATGAAACGTGAGGGTGGAGAGGTAAATAGAGGTAAACTCATAAAGGTCCTAACGTAGCATGTTTCTGGAATTTATATTGAAGAAATGGGGGGCGCAGGAGGGGTTTGACCAGTAGAGCCTGATACATTTGAGAACAATGATTCAGTTGTGCTAAAACAGAGGAGAAGGTGAAACTAGAGGGAGGCTCAGTGGATGAGGAGCTGGCAACAAGTGTAATTAGGTGACAAGACAGTTGCCTCAACTAAGGTAGAGGCACTAGGGTGGAGCAAAGTGGACTTACATAAGACATGCTATGCAAAAGAATCTGGCAACTGACTATTTATGGGGGGAACCCCTTAGAGCAAGCTTGTCTTACCCATGGCTGCTGGGTCACATGGGGCCCAATAGCTTTGAATGTGGCCCAACACAAATACATAAACTTTCTTAAAACATGAGATTCTTCCCATTCTGGTTCACTCTAATGATTATTTCTTTTGCTGTGCAGAAGCTCTGGAGTTTAATTAGATCTGATTTGTCTATTTTGGCTTTTGTTGCCCATGCTTTTGTTGTTTTAGTCATGAAGTCCTTGCCTATGCCTATGTCATGAATGGTTTTGCATAGGTTTTCTTCTAGTGTTTTTATGGCGTTAGGTCTTATGTTTAAGTCTTTAATCCATTTGGAGTTAATTTTAGTATAAGGTGTCAGGAAGGTGTCCAGTTTCTGCTTTCTGCACATGCCTAGCCAGTTTTCCCAACACCACTTATTAAACAGGGAATCCTTTCCCCATTGCTTGTTTTTGTCAGGTTTGTCAAAGATTAGATGGTTATAGATGTGTGGTGTTGCCTCTGAGGCCTCTGTTGTGTTCCAATGGTCTTTATCTCTGTTTTGGTACCAGTACCATGCTGTTTTGATTACTGTAGCCTTGCAGTATAGTTTGAAGTCAGGTAGCATGATACCTCCAGCTTTGTTCTTTTTGCTTATAATTGACTTGGTTATGCGGGCTCTCTTTCGGTTCCATATGAAGTTTAAGGTGTTTTTTTCCAGTTCTGCGAAGAGGGTCATAGGCAGCTTGATGGGGACAGCATTGAATCTATAAATTACTTCTGGCAGTATGGCCATTTTCACAATATTGATTCTGACAAAGGGTTAATATCCCGAATCTACAAAGAACTAAAACAGATTTACAAGAAAAAAAAAAAACATCAAAAAGTGGGCAAAGGATATGAATAGATACTTCATAAAAGAAGACATATATGAGGCCAAGAAACTTAGGAGAAAATGCTCATCATCACTGGTCATTAGAGAAAAGCAAATCTAAACCACATTGAGATACCATCTCATGTCAGTTAGAATGGCGATCATTAAAAAATCTGGAGACAACAGATGCTAGAGAGGATGTGGGGAAACAGGAACACCTTTGCGCTGTTGGTTGGAGTGTAAATTAGTTCAACCATTGTGGCAGACAGTGTGGCAATTCCTCAAGGACCTAGAAACAGAAATTCCATTTGACCCAGCAATCCCATTACTGGGTATACACCCAAAGGATTATAAATCATTCTATTATAAAGACACAGGCACAGGTATGTTCACTGTGGCACTGTTTCTAATAGTAAAGACTTAGAACCAACCCAAACACCCATCAATGATAGACTGGACAAGGAAAATGTGGCACATATACGCCATGGAATACTACACAGCCATAAAAAACAATGAGTTTGTGTCCTTTGTAGGGACATGGATAAATCTGGAAACCATCATTCTCAGCAAACTGACACAAGAACAGAAAATCAAACACCGCATGTTCTCACTCATAGGTGGGTATTGAACAATGAGAACACATGGACACAGGGAGGGGAGCATCACACACTGGAGTCTGTTGTGGGGGACTACGGGAGGGAGAGCAGAGGGTAGGGAGTTGGGGAGGGATGACATGGGGAGATATGCCAGATACAGGTGACGGGGATGGAGGCAGCAAACTACATTGCCATGTATGTACCTATGCAACAATTCTGCATGTTCTGCACAGGTACTCCAGAACCTAAAGTGCAATAAAGTATGTTTTTAAAAAAAAATTATGAGTTTTGGCAATTCTTTTAAAACTCATCAGCTATTTTAGTGTTAGTGTATTTTATGTGTTGCCCAAGATAACTCATCTTCCAGTGTGGTCCAGGGAAGCCAAAAGCTTGGACTCCCCTGCCTCACAGGGAAGAACTGAAGGCAATATCAGGCTTCTACCTTGAGGACACAGGTAGAAGTATAGCACTACTCAGGTAAGGAACACTGGAAGAGAAGTAGGTTTCAGATAAGGAGGATCTGTTCACTTATAAGTCTTAGGAACCTGACTCAGGAAACCCATCTAATAAAGAACTCTAAGTCCTTTCTATTGTTAACAATAATTAGGATTTAATCTGTCTCTCTAGCCTGTGAGTGACTAGTGGCTGAAATTTCAGGGGGGTGGGTTTGTGCCCAAGAAACAAGAAGGTTGATATGAGGAAGAAAGAAAACCAAAAAAAAAATTAAAATAAAAATTAAAACAGCCTTTGGGACCACAAAAAACCCCCTGAAAACAACAACGAAAAAAACCAGCAAAGAAACCTTCCCATCTCAACAGGGTAATCATAGCACATGGCAAGAATAAGTTATAAAATTAACCTAATCATTGAGAAAAGGTTAATTTGTGCTCTGTACGCTCTGTTTTAATAAGCAGGAGTAATAGGAAATGGCTTTTAGAAGGGCACTGATAAAAATAGTTCAAATCAAAAGTGTTGTGCAAAGCTTCTATTATGTGCAAAAAAATCACTGAATGTGGAAAACGTCACTCAGCATTGTGCCAGATGAAACATATGACAGATGCCATGTTTCTTTTCAGGAAGGAGGTGCTTCAGTGATCAGCACAGGTTCTTCGGCCAAGATCAGCTCTCCTCCCTCAACAGCATCCTAACACTCCCCTTTATGTTCCTAAGAGCTAATCACTCTGTGTTTGCTAGCAAGTTTTGTGGCTGATTTCGTTCAAAGTGACATTAAGCTGGCTCTCACTTTAAGGCCATATACTACTCCATTGGCAATTACTTCAGAAATTCCAATGGGTAAAGAGATAACCATTGCCAGACACAGAATTAATAAGTGTTAAATATATTCCTTACCTGTCTTTTATGATGACTTCACCGCAGGATTGGCAATAAAATGTGCAACATTCTTGGGCTTGTAAGCGTTGATTAAACATTGAAATCAGTTCTAAAGGAAGTCAATGAAATAGCAAATTTTAGAAGTTGAAACAAATATATTAACATACTTAAACAGTTCAACAGCCATGATAAATTACCATCCATAAACAGTTTATGATCCACCTAGAAGTACACATTTAATTAATACTATCTGATGACTCAAGCAGAAGCAAATATTGTGAAGTGTTTTCAAAAACAACAGATTTCGCTAAGTGTTCCACAGCTAGGTGCTGCCCTAGATTATGCATGTAACATTTGTAATTTCTCTCATTCTATAAATACCAACATTAAGGATGAGTGAAAAAGAACTATTACCTTCTCATCAAGCTAACTACACAGATCTCCAACATGCTCAGCCTTCCTCTGCTATGTCTTACAGTAGAGTTTCATCAGAGTGAACAGAACTCTTAAATTTGAGTTCATTTTTATTTTATTATTATTATTACTCAGATGGAGGTTCACTCTGTTGCCTAGGCTGGAGTGCAGTGGCGCAATCTCAGCTCACTGCTACCTCTGCCTCTGCCTCCCAAGTAGTGGGGATTACAGGCGCCCACGACCACACCCGGCTAAATCTTTGTATTTTTAGTAGAGGCAAGGTTTCAACATCTTGGCCAGGCTGGTCTTAAACTCCTGACTTGGTGATCCACCAGCCTTGGCCTCCAAAAGTGATGGGATTACAGATGTGAGCCACCATGCCCAGTCAAATTTGAATTTAATTTTATTTAAACAAGGTTTATGTCCATTCTAGCATATTACCAAATGAACAAACAATAGATCTCAAACTAGTGTTTATTGGATATATCCCTGGGAATGAAACGGCTCCAAAAAGAGTCCAGTCTTCCCAGAGCAAAATTCAATTTCTAATGAAAGCTATGGGAAAACATTGAAAGCTGTGGGGAAAATGTGTATTTCTCACACTAGGGGAAAGAGCAACATAAGGCAGCAAGTTTTCTTCATTTCCAATATTTCTTTTATGAAATAAGGAACCTTTCATTTAAAAGAAACAACTAAAATATGTCTATAAAAGTCTAGTTAAAGAAATGAGGTCATATCCATCAGAATCAAGCAATGTGGATTTCGTTTGTGTTCTTTTATAGGTATTTTAAGATTTCAAAAAACTGATGCTAAAAGGTTTACACCTTGGAAATTAAAAATCTTAACAGTTTTTAAGGGGTAGCCAGAAATCCCTATAGCACTAAGGTGAAATAAACAGTATTCTTCTTTAACTTTGAGCAGATTAAAAGGACAACTAGGAATCCAAAACAGTCTTTCCAGACCCACAAATTTTCAGTAAAACACTACCCTCTGCTGGCCACCCAGTATGATGCACTGGGTCGGGTTTAAAATTCAGTTTTTGATATAGAGGAATCCTGGTCTCGAGAGAGTTGCTGCTGAGGATCAATCTACGGCTTTGCTCAAATACATCCTACTGTAGCTAGTTCCGCATGGAGGGTCACAGTTTGAATTCAAAATAGCAGTATACCAGTATGATGTTTACTATACTTGTCCTTAAAGGGAGTTCTCAGCATTGAAAAGTCGACTTTTTAAAAACCCTGAAACATAAACTGAATGCTAAAACTTTCAAAAGTCACTTCTTACAAAACAGTTTGATTCAAGTTCACACCAGTACACATCTATTCACATTTATTCATTCAGCAAATATTTATGCACCACCTATTATTGGAAGGCACTCAGGCAATTAAGTGCTGAGGAATCTGTTTTGCATACTCTTTCATGCATTATGGAACAGGCCTTTGATAGTTTTCCTTTTCAGATACTTGAGCAAAATATATTAAAGTGTAAAGAAATAGGAGACCAAGGAACACAAACAATGGCAAATCAGCACATAGCAATTTATTTTGTCCTATAGTTTAAACAATGTTTGCAGATTTAAATTTTAAAAATAATTCCAGTTTTGATTATTTGTATATTCAGTTATAGAATACAGAATATGGATGGGCAAAAACCCAATACTATGTCCCCAGTGGTCTCTATTCCCCCATCTCAAAACCACAGTCCCAGAAAACACTCTGCTGTGGCTTTCATGCTTGCCTTTCCCAAATTTCCAGATCCAAAACAAAATTACTGCTGTGGGGCCGGGCGTGGTGGCTCATGCCTGTAATCCCAGCACTTTGGGAGGCCAAGGCGGGTGGATCACGAGGTCGAGAGATCGAGACCATGCCCTGTCTCTACTAAAAATACAAAAAAGTAGCTGGGCATGGTGGCGCGTGCCTGTAATCCCAGCTACTCAGGAGGCTGAGGCAGGAGAATTGCCTGAACCCAGGAGGTGGAGGTTGCGGTGAGCCAAGATCGCGCCATTGTACTCCAGCCTGGGTAACAAGAGCGCAACTCCGTCTCAAAAAAAAAAAAAAAAAAAAAAAATTCCTGCTGTGGTTACTCATGTAAAAGAGGTAACTGTTTTGAAGGAGAAGGTGATGGCAACACAACATCCAGATTTCCATGGTCTCTTCCCTGAAATAACACTTTTTCTGCCCATTATTAGGAGTCTACTTCCCATCTTGGTGACCCTAACCTTCTTGTTATCGTTATTCCAATAGTCATTCCCAGTATTTATCCTATAACATTTAAGTGCCATGACATCTGTTTTCCCTATCCCTTGTTCCTAAAGCCAACCCTACCCAACTCAAACTAGTTATTCACTAATACAGGACTTGAGCAAAAATTGCTCTCCAGCAAAAAAGAAATGAAACTCTTTCTGTCTTCTCTTTCCTCACAAAAGCCAAGAAGAGAGACTCAAGAGAATGCTCAGCATCTCCCAAATGGCTCTTCCAAACACTCCTGCTGACCCCACCTCCAGGATCCACACAGTTCAGATGAAAGGTTTATTACAGATGAGGCAGCAGTAAAGTGTCAGCATGTAGCTGAAAGAATTATAATCTTTCTCTGATAATAAACATCGCATAAGTCTTTTACAGCCTGTTTCCCCTTTTGACATAATTTTAATCCCCCAAAGCATATATTACATATATTGTAATAGATGCAATGAATCAATAATTTTATTCAATAAATAACCTCTAGGTCTTAGGAAAAGGAAAATTTCTACTGCCTTACTGAATCAATAAACCAGTTAAAACATGTTGTAAATATAATAGGCATAGTAAAAATCAAAATTAAATTATGTATCAAACTCAACTGTAGGACCTTTTGTGTACTGTTTTCCTTATCTGGAACTGTCCCCACATGGATAGGATCATTTTCCTTATTCAGGACTCTGGTCAAACATCAACCCCTCAGAGTGGCCTACCTGATCATCCATCGGCCAACACTAGTCACTCCCTATTCCATTATTCTGTTTTATATTATCATAACACTTTTCTTAATATTTAAATTGTTTGTTCATTATCTGCTCCCACCAATTACAAAGTAAGCTCCATGAGAGCAAACATCTCCCCTACCTTGTTCACTTCTGTATCCCCAGCATCTAGGTTGATGACTAGCACATAGCACAAACTAAAATATTTGTTGAATGAATAAATTTCCATGTAATGTTTTCAAACCCATCAGGTCTTACACAATTGCTATCTGATTTAATCTTCCCATCCCTGTGCCAGAAAATTTTACAATTAAAGAAACCAGCAGGTAAATGGGAAATCTCTACACCTTCTGCTCAATTTTGCTGTGGGAGGAAAACAAAGAAGGGAGGGAAGGAGGGAAGAAACCTCAGAGAGGTTAGGTAACATGTTCAACTGCATACAGTCAATAACTGGTAAGGCTGACAGAGACCCTAGATCTTCTCAACCCCAGCTTTTACCATGCTGCTGATGAGTCCTTTTATCACCTGGGAAAAGTTCACCTTACCGAAGGCAAAATCACCTTTGGTTTATAACAGAAAGGTAAATACAGAAATAGAAGTGCTAACATTACTCACTTGTGCCTAATTCTGCCTGTGCCTGCAGCCGCAGGTGCAGTCCATCTCCAGCAACAAACTGCAGCCCACGGCAAGAGGAAGGTACAAGCCTGACCTCTGCTGGAAGTTGGATTTCCGTGCAGTTTTCAGGGGTTTTCACCTGGAGTGAAGATGGCATTATGGAAATATCCAGGGGCATACCTCCTTCTTTCGGTTCTCTGGTAATTAAAAACAAAACCCAAACCAATTATTTCTCATAATGAAATCCACATGAAGAAAGAAACAAAAATGGCTAAGGATCTCTTTGTTTCTCTTCAGTATGGGCTCTAAAAGTAACTGCCCCAGAATATCAGGAGCAAGCAAATCATAAAGGAAAGCAAACTACACTAGATTTAGATCTGGTCAGTGCCCTTCATTGTCACCATAATATGCAAGTCCTGGGACAGATTTTTGGTTCTTTCTTCTGAGAACAGCACTAAAGTCATGTTTTATCTTACAGTAAATTAGAGCAAAGTACTGTTATCTCATATAAAAGATTTTAATAAAGAGACCAAGATTCAGTGAAACAAAGATACAAGAGAAAAATCTGTCAATTTTAAGAATAAAAAGAAAGAAAACAATATAGTGACATATGAATATCAGGTGTGAAAGGACTTACTAATACAATTCACAGTAAACATAAATTACTCAGTATAGGTAAAAAAGAGTAAAACACAGTCCCTGTCAAAAGCCCCCAGGTGTCAAAAGTATAGTGGCGATAAAGGCATGCATGGAAATGACCCTCCTCTGAAGCTGCAATCGGCTTAGCATTGCAACAGAGGTGCAAAGTACCATGGCTCCCTCTTAAGTGCAGATAGCAGGCTATCCACACAGTGTCAACTAAGTGCAGACAGCAGGCCATCCACATGGTGTCAACTAAGTGCAGACAGCAGGCCATCAACACAGTGTCAACTAAGTGCAGACAGCAGACCATCAACACAGAGTCAACTAAGTGCAGACAATAGACCATTTGCTTGAGTGTCATTTAAGTACAGAAGGCAGACCATGTATTCAAGTGTGAACCTTGGTTAGGCCTTAGAAATCCACCTTAGAATATCTTACATCTACTTTTTGGCTAGCTCCTTTTCAAAGCATATGGATCTGCACTTAACTGGCAACTAAGAATATTAAGCACCTGAGTTTTTCTGCAGGGACGACAGCCTCAAACCCAAGTCAAAAGTCCAATTTCAAGAAATGGTGTTTAAGAAATATTGATACTCTAAAACAAGGGTCAGCAACTTCTTTTTCTATGAAAGACCAGGTAGTAAATATTTTAGGATTTATGAGCCATATATGGTCTCATCAATAGTGATGTATGAATACACATTCTACTTTTTAGTTTTTAAAACATCCTTAAAAAATGTAAAGTCAGCAGGTAGAGATGGCTTACGCCTCTAATCCTAGCACTTTGGGAGGTTGAGGTGGGAGGATGGTTTGGACCAAGAAATTCAAGACCAGTGGACTTCCACCATGACAGCCAAATAGGAACAGCTCTGAAGCACAGTTCCCAGCAAGAGCGAAGCAGAAAGTGAGTGATCTCTGCATTTCCAACTGAGGTAACAGGTTCATCTCAATGGGACTGGATGTACAGTGGGTGTAGCCCAAGGAGGGTAAACTGAGGCAGGGTGGGGTGCTGCCTCACCTGGGAAGTACAACAGGCCAGAGGGCCCTCCCTCCTATACAATGGAGGCCACTGGGGATGTCCAGCCACTCCAGAGCTTCAGTTCTGATGCTGCGCTTCTCCTGAAGTCTTTGCAGCCCACAGACCAGGAGATCCCCGCATGCTGACAGGTTTCCAGGGCAAATCTGGGCAGCCGATTAAAGTCTGAGCAGCCAATTCAGCTGGCACCACGAGCCCGCCAGTGCCCCCCACCACACACACACAAATCCAAGCAGCCGTTTTGACTGGCACCTGGAGTGCCTGTGAGACAGTTGCCCATACACCTGAGAGAAAGGAGGCTGAAGGCGGGGAGCCAGGTGACCCGGCTTGGGGGTATCCCATCCCCACAGAGACCAGCAAACTGAATCTCACTGGCTAAGGATTTTCGCAGCCAGCACAACAGTTTGAGCACGACCCTGGACAGTCAAGTTCCTTGGAGGTAGGCCATTACTGTGGCAGCTCTAACCTTACCTGCATAAACAACAGGACAAAGAAGTTTACACAGCAGGTGGGGGTAGCCCGTGGCAGATCAAAAATGTCTCTGCAGGCAGACTGTGACTAGACTCCCTCTTTGCTGGGAAGAGCATCTCTGAGAAAAGCAGCAGCCTGTCAGAAACTTATAAATAAAGCCACACCTTCCTGGGACAGAGCACCTGGGAAAAGGAGTAGCTGTGAGTTCTGCTGCAGCAGACTTACATGTCCCTGCCCAGCAGCTTTGAAGGGAGCAACTCAGCCCCAATCACAGCACTTCAGCTCTGACAAGGGACAGACTGCCTCCTCAAGCAGCTCCCTGACCCCTGTAAGAAAGAATCACCTAATACAGGAGAGCTATGGCTGACATCTGGTGGGTAACCATCTGGGATGAACCTACCAGAGGAAGGAACAGGCCGCAGTCCTTGCTGTTCTGCAACCCCCACAGGTGATTCCCAGGCAAGCAGGGTCTGGAGTGGACCTCCAGCAGTCCTGCAGCAGATGGGCCTGACTGTTAGAAGGAAAACTAAAAAACAGAAAGAATTAGCCTTGACATCAACAAAAAAGGATGCCCACTCAGAGACCCCATCTAAAAGTCACCAACCTCAAAGACCAAAGGTAGATAAATCCCTGAAGATGAGAAGACAACAGCGCAAAACAGGATGAAAACACCAAAAACCAGAATGCTTCTCCCCCTCCAAGGGATCAAAACTCCTCACCAGCAAGGGAACAAAACTGGATGGAGAATGAGTTTGTAAAAGTGACAAAAGCAGGCTTCAGAAGGTGGGTAATAACAAAATTCTTCACTGTCACTATTAGATCAACAAGACAGAAAATTAACAAGGATATCCAGGACTTGAACTCAGATCTGGACCAAGCTGACCTAATAGACATCTACAGAATTCACCATCCCAATCCACAGAAAATACATTCTTCACAGCACCACATCACACTTACTCTAAAATTGACCACATAATTAGAAGGAAATCACTCCTCAGCAAATGCAAAAGAACAGAAATCGTTAACAACCAAGTCTCTAAGACCACAGTGCAATCAAATTAGAACTCAGAACTAAGAAACTCACGTGAAACTGCACAACTACATGGAAAGTGAATCTGCCCCTGAATGACTACTGGATAAATAATGAAATGAAGGCAGAAATAAAGATGTTTTTTGAAACCAATGAGAATGAAGACACAATGTACCAGAATCCCTGGGACACATTTAAAGCAGTGTCTAGAGGGAAATTTATAGCACTAAATGCCCACATGAGAAGCAAGGAAAGTACTAAAATCAACACCCTATTGTCAAAATCAAAAGAACTAGAGAAGCAAGATCAAACAAATTCAAAAGCTAGCAGAAGACAAGAAGTAACTAAAATCAGAGCAGAACTGAAAGAGACAGAGACACAAAAACTCTTCAAAAAACTCAATAAATCAAGGAGCTGGTTTTTTGAAAAGATTAACAAAACAGACCACTAGCCAGATAATAAAAAAGAAAAGAGAGAAGAATCAAATAGATGCAATAAAAAATGATAAAGGTGATATCACCACCAATTCCACAGAAATACAAACTACCATCAGAGATTACTACGAACAACTCTATGCATATAAACCAGCAAATCTAGAAAAAAATGGATAAATTCCTGAACACTTACAACCTCACAAGACTAAACCAGGAAGAAGTTGAATCCATGAATAGGCTAATAACAAGGTCTGAAGTTGAGGCAGCAATATTATAATAGCTTACCAACCAAAAAAAGTCCAGGTCCAGATGGGTTCATAGCTGAATTCTACCAGACATCCAAAGAGGAGCTGGTACCATTCCTTCTGTAACTATTTCAAACAATACAACAAGAGGGAATACTCCCTAACTCATTTTATGAGCCCAACATCATTCTGATACCAAAACCTGGCAGAGAAACAACTAAAAAAGAAAATTTCAGGCCAATATCCATAATGAACATAGATGCAAAAATCTTCAATAAAATACTGGCAAACTGAATCCAACAGCATATCATAAAGATTATACATGACAATCAAGTAGGCTTCATCCCAGGGATGAAAATCTGGTTCAACATACACAAATCTATAAACGTAATCTATCACGTAAACAGAACCAAAGACAAAAACCACATGATTATCTGAGTAGATACAGAGAAGGCCTTCGACAAAATTCAACAGCCCTTTATGCTAAAAACTTTGAATAAACTAGGTATCGATGGAACATATCTCAAAATAATAAAAGCTATCTACGAAAAACCCACAGACAATATCTTACTGAATCGGAAAAACTGGCAGCATTCTCTTTGAAAACTGGCACTAAACAAGGGTGCCTTCTCTCACCATTCCTATTCAACATAGTATTGGAAGTCCTAGCCAGAGGAATCAGACAAGAAAAGGAAATAAAGCGTACTGAATTAGGAAAAGAGGAAGTCAAATTGTCTCTATTTGTAGATGACATGATTGTATATTTAGAAACCCCCATTGTCTCAGCCCAAAATTTCCTTAAGCTAATAAGCAACTTCAGCAAAGTCTCAGGATACAAAATCAATGTGCAAAAATCACAAGCATTCCTATACACCAGTAACAGAGAGAGAGTCAAATCATGAGTGAACTCCCATTCACAACTGCAACAAAGAGAATAAAACACCTAGGAATACAACTAACAAAGGACGTGAAGGACCTCTTCAATGACAACTACAAACCACTTCTCAAGGAAATAAGAGAGAACACAAACACATGGAAAAACATTCCATACTTATGGTTAGGAAGAATCAATATTGTAAAAATGGCCATACTGCCCAAAGCAATTTATAGATTTAATGCTTTCCCCATCAAGCTACAATTGACCGTCTTCACAGAACTGGAAACACCACCTTAAACTTCATATAGAACCAAAAAAGAACCTGCATAGCCAAGACAATCCTAGGCAAAGAGAACAAAGCTGGAGGCATCAAGCTACCTGACTTCAAACTATGCTGTGAGTGTACAGTAATCAAAACAGAATGGTATTGCTACCAAACTAGAGATACAGACCAGTGTAACA